ATGATTTTTAAATGTCAAAATATATGCAAAAAAAAAAAAGTACAATTGGTTTCAATCCAAACAGGTAAACAAGTCAGTCAGAACTGATTTCAGGTAAGCTACTCAATCAGGACCAATTGACTGAGTGCTACATCTAAATAGATTTCTTGGCTATGGGTTTTAGGGTTTTCACGCCCTAAACGAAATGTAATAAGCACCTTCCATATAGCAGCATAAACAGAAATATATATTTATCATCTTGTGCCTGTTTGATTGGTCAAATAATAAAAAAAATAAAGATTACTTTAAAAAATCAAAACATTCCTTAATTTAATTATTGATCATATCAAACATATTCGACATTATATATTTACCATCTTGGACTAATTTAAATGGTCAAATAATTAAAAGGGGGAAAGATTTCTATAACAAATCAAAAATTTTCTTAATTTAATTATTGATTATATCAAACATATTCTACATGATTCTTACCATGCAAAACTTATATATTTTAGGTAAAAGGCGTTTGTGCCTTGTAGGAGTCTCTACATGACCAAAGAGGATCATTAAGGGACGTAGAATGCTTTGAGAAAATTTGCCTATGTCCAGTGAACCTACTGCAATAAGTTCTGAAGTCTTCCGACCATCCCCACTAGCTGATGTTCCATTGAAGTATTTCAAGCAAAAATCATGTTCTTCAACAATAATTGAAGATAACACACCTGAGCTTGAATGATATAATGCTACTCAAAGATCAGGATATCGGCGTGAGTTAAGATTGACGAATCTTAATTCAAGTAGTGTTTGCGGTCGAATAAAATAGTGAAGTGGTGATAAAGTCAAAAACAGAGGGTTTTATTCTTCTTTCCCAACAAGTCAAGAGAAGAAAGAAAACGAGGGAGTTGTTCCTTACTTGCTTTTGATTGTTTTTGTTAATTTTGTGAAATCACAAAATTGAAATTGTTGTATTTTTTATTCTTTGGTGGTGGATATTTCCCTTAGGGATTTACCACATTATATTTAGTGTTCATCTTTATTTTTCGCAATAAATTATATCTTGTAGAACACAAATCTTTCAAGATGTCTAGTCGAACTGTGCGTAAAGTTGTTTGTAGGAAATTTTGACTGACTAGCATATTCTGACTGAAACAAATAATTTAGACTAATTGTTTAATTAACTAGGTTTTAGTATT